GCCTCCCGCGCTCGGCACTCGGTCCGCGGCAGCGGCGGCGGCGGCGGCCGGTTATGGTCCCGGGGGCGGGGCAGCCGCGTCAGCTCTCAGGCCCCGCCCCGCGTGGTCCGAGCCCGGCCCCGCCCCCGGCCCGCCCCGTGCCGGCCGGGAAACTGAGGCCGGGGCGGGGCGCGCTGAGGCAGGGACAGGGCGGGGATTGAAGCACAGCCAGTGGCTGATGCCCGGTCTCGGAAAGCCGAGCGCGGCGGGGCCGGGGCGGGACTGGGGCGTGGCCTTCGGAGGCGGTGTTGTGCCAAGCCCCGAGCGGCGGGTCAAGGTGCGGTGCCCAGAGAGGACAGAAGCATGGAGCGGAGTCCGCGCGGCCACTGGGATCCTCAGGAGCCCAGGGATTCTGGAGGCGAGAGGGGCAGATCCTCTCCAAAGACACGTGGGGCTAGCCTGGTTCCAGTAGTCTGAGGGTTTGACTTTCGGACATCCCACGGGGCTGTGCGGTTCCCACCCATGCCCCTCTGCATCTAGAACTTTGGGCAGCCAACTTGGTTGGGAAAAGACCCCAAACCCAACCCGTTGGTGTTCTCCCAGGTGCCTTCTCTGGGGAGATGCAGGTCCCCCACCCCAGACGGGTCCTGAAAACCTTTACTAGGCTCCAAGGCCTATAAGGGTGGCTCCTTTCCCTTCCACCCACAGCAGCACCAAGCAGAGAAGCTTTGCCTTGATAAACCGACTTTAATAAGCATGATCTGCAGGAGACTCAGGATCCTGGTATGGGGTCTGGTACCTCCATTCAAGACGAGTTCGTGTTGTAACTCCAAAGTGGCCTGGAGAGGGCAGCTACAGCCAGTGTGATGGGTGAAGAGAGGGCATGCCCAGGAGTGCCTGGCTGCAGGCAGAGGTCCACCTCGCTGCTGGCAGTTGGAGCTGATCTTGGGCAGTGTCTACCCAGGCTTCAGGTTGGCACAGAGGCTGCCGTCATTGGATTTCAGCAAAATAAACACCATCCATGTGTTTCCACCTCCGGGGTCCTCTGTGCTGCTAGAGTGACACACTCCTTGGAGAGGCTGTTACCTCAGTAGGTAGAGGGGGTGTTGAGTCTGACTGCCCACTACACGCTGAAGCTGTACATGGGGGGCTGGGCAAAGGCAGGAGTAGTGGCATATCCATAGGGGAAGCTGGCAGGGTCTGGGCTGGTGGCAGGGCCTGCCATCAGCATCAGGTGCTGGCCTGTTGAGGGAGAAATGGCCATGAGCAGAGCTCCTGCCCATAGTTCTTCCTGGTTGCTCCTCAGTAGGCAGGGACCCAAGGAAAAGGGTCTACAGGGCCAGTCCTAACCCCCCAGAGGTTGAGGTACTGGGGCAGCAGGTGGCTGGAAGCAAGGTGTGTGGGCAGTGTTGTTGTGGGGCCAGCCAGCTAGAGGACAAGCTAGTCCCCAAATGGGACACTTACTTAGCTCAGTTGGTTGGGTCTCATTCATGCCCATCAAAATCTAAAAAAACCAGACTGGCATTAGTGGTGGATGGGCACAACCTCAGGGAGAACACACTCAGCAAGAGCCTCAGGACCAGCTGGTATGCTGCATGCTAACACCACCCCCTCAGGCCTGTGTTGGCCCCCTGGCATGTTCCAGCACCCACAGCCTTGCCAGTCTGCTTGGCAGCCAGGGTGACCCTGGGTGATTTTCAGGCACAAAGCCCCTCTTGGTGGATGCTAGCAGCAGCCTTGCTGCCCAAGGGCTAGGCAGGGCCAACAGTGGCAGCTCACAGCTGGGCAGGCAACCTCATGAGAAAGCAGGTACCCTTAGAGCAGAAGGACAGTGGCTGAGCCAATATTCCTGGACACACACTTTCTCCACATCTGGCAGCCATGGGTCTTTCTGGCTTCCACCCATCCATTCCCATCTCCATCTGAAGCCTAGTCAGGGAAGGATGGTGTGACTCACCTCCCCCTCCTCCCCAGGGGACTGAAGGCTTCAGGTGCTACCTACCAAACATGAGAGGGGTAGGCTCGGCCACATGCTCTGCCTGTCTGTGTAGACTCTCCGAGGCATCCAGTTTGTCCACCTGCCAAAGAGCCACGAGCACATGAGTACCCACAAGATAGAACCCAGTCCCACCTCCTGGATGAAACAGACACAGAGGCCCCAGGAGAGATAGTGCTGAGGTGTGGAGTGACCAGCTCCACACCCTGTGCGCATTTTGAATGCGGTGAGGCCACAAAGAGGTGAGGCCTTGGTAGCTGGGCTGAGGCAGAGAGCAGGCAGAGCCCAGGTGCTGTTCCAGCTCAGCAGCTACCCACTACATCCAAGGAGCATTTTGTTCCCAGGTGTGCTGTGGCAGCCAGTGGTTGCAGGCTGTGAGTGCCTGGCTTACAGGAGCCGAGTCCTCTGGACTCAGGGACACTGCTGCTTACCAGCCTGTAGGGCTGTCCACCCCTTCTAACCAGCAGAGAAATCATTTGGTCCTCAGGAGACAAGTCACCTGGCACCTAGACACTTCACCTGAGGCATCTTTTTTTCTTTTTTTGTGAGTTGGAGTCTCACTCTGTCGTTCAGACTGGAATGCAGTGGCAGGCTCCTGGCTACCGCAGCCTCAACCTGCTGGGCTCTAGCGATCCTTCTATCACAGCCTTCCAAGTAGCCGGAACTACAGGCATGTGCTACCATGCCCTGCTAAATTTTGATTTATTGTAGAGACGAGGTCTCACCAAGTTGCCCTGGTGGGTCTCGAACCCGGGGGCTCAGGCAATCCACTCGCCTCGGCCTCTCAAAGTGCTAGGATTACAGGCTGAGTACCTGAGACATCTTAAAGATAAGCTGCCTCCTTGCTCCTCCCCAAGGCTTCCCAGGCACTGCCCCTGCAGTGTTCCAGGGCTAGGCAGGGAAGAGTGGTGCTGTGGGGATGTCAGAGGCTGCGCTGGTAGGACTGAAAAAGAACAAGCAGTGATGTGCACCCTATGAGCTCAGATCTGGAGGTGATAGGGCCAGGCATCCTGTTGACTCCCACTCCCACTTGCCCTGGTCTAGCCTGAGAGGTGAGAAAGCATGACGGGCACGCAGCCTGTCATCTCTCTTCCTAAGTTTGCTGACATGCATGGCTGCGGTCTACACTGGGAGTGCTGAGTGAGCGTCTCAGGACTGGCCCTCAAGCCTCCCAGATAAGCCAGAAGGCCCCAGGCTAGTTGTCCATCAGGGAGGGAGCTATGCTCAGAAATGCTGTGCTGGATCTGCTGGGTGCTAGCTCAAACCAAGAACAACCCTGCACTCCCACACCACTGACCAAAAAGCTGGGCTCACGAGAGGCACCTTGTCTGGTCCTAGCAGAAACAGCTGGACAGCTGTAGGATGGGCACCGGCAGTCACTACCTCCCAGGGCTAGTGGAAAAGTCTGGGAAACCCAGGCCAAGGCTGTGTAGCCACAGTGCTGACGATGGTGACAGTGGCTGCCAAGATAAAGTCCACCATATACAACAGAGAAGGAGCATGCTCCCCAAAGTCCTGATGGCCCCCAGTAGTTCAATCCCTACAGCAATGACATCCCTGAGTGCCGGGGGCCTCTACCATCAGGAAGAGATTTCAGCACATGCATCTTCTATGCAGATTCTCGGGAAAGACTGCTTTTGGGTAAGACACTTTGGGAACAGGAAAAGCCGCTCACGTGGGCAAGGGTAGTTTCCGAGGGCAAATGTCACACAGCATAGATGCCTACTGCAGGGAGCTGCCATCTACTGTAGTGGAGGGCCTGGGATCCTTATAAATCCAAATGGTGTATGTCACCTTGTAGCCCATGCAGCTCAGGCCACGAGGCTGGGGCTGCTCCTTCCCCAAACCCTTGTGAGTCGTTAGGGAGCCTCTCACTCAGCTGTGCTGGGTGAACAGTACTAGGTCACACTCTCCTGCAATACGTTGATGACCTGGAATGGCCTCTGGAATGGTCACCAGGGGCTGGGCAGCTCCCTGGAGGCTCTGCAGATGCAGGCATTCCTGCAAGCCCTTCTAGGCCAAAGCTGGCAGCATTAGTCCATGTCCCTGTTTCTTTCCTACCCATCACTGGCCCAGGAGGCTCCTCCTTTCCCTGCACCACTCAGAGAAGACTCAGCACAAGTGGCTTCAGGGTCTCCATCTGGCTAGAAGGAGGGAAGACTGGATGGGCAGGTAGATGCTGCTGAAAGGTGGATTTCCAGTGCTAGAAACAACAAACGACCTGATAACACAGATCTCTGGACAAAGGCTAAAGCTAGGGCCCAGAAATGTACTCCTAGGGATCTGGCACCCAGGAAGTTTTAAAATCAACTACTGTCATGTCAGTAAAGCAGAAAAAGTCATCTTCTCTGTAGCTGCTGGAAGGATTCAATGCATGCCTTAACATTCCCACTATGTGCTCAGCAAAAGAAGACTACCACCAACAGGTACATTAACAGCTACATCCCCAGATTCTATTGGAGAGTCTGAGCATAACAGTTGTGGACTGGAGGTGTCATGGGGAGCCAGCACTACCAGCTGGTGCCTCACTGTTGCCTGATGAAGCATAGGGCCATGGGCAAGCACACCTGTCATGCTCCCAGTCTCTTGGAGGAGCTGCTGTGAGTAGGACATCTCAGTTCTACCCAATGTTTTCTGTGGTGATATTGTAGAAGGACTTAATGTTGGGCAGAAAACCACTTGAGCATGAAGGGAAAAGACTCCTGAAGGCTGCCCAGGGTTGTTTGGGCAATCTGGGCTGGCCTGAAATGGGTCCACCCTCAGAGCCTACCCTGCAGGCCAGCAGCCAGAGTCAGCGCCAGGGATGGGCTGTGGCTCACAGTGGTCAGAGAGTTACAGCGGGTCAGCACTTACCTTGCTCAGGTATTCCCGCATCACTTGGATGAAGTAGGGCATGGCAAAGTCCATGAGGTTGTGTCTCCAGGCCAGCTCAAACACCACATCAGGATGGAGCAGGTCATAGCAGGTGAAGAGCGACGCTGCGAAGCACTCCCGCTCCCCTTCCTCCAGGAACCACTGCAGCAGTTTCTGTGCCAACTCGCTATCCCGCGACTCTGCCACATGCTGCATGGCATCCTGCAGCCAAGGCAAATGCAGACTCGGGTGTCCTGCAGGCAGAGGTCTCGTGCCGTAGGCAGCTGGGCTGGCAGTGCCAGGCTCTACGTAGCCTTTCTACACCACAGAGTGAATCTAGACATTGGTCGAGCTGTTCCCTGAGCCCTGCTGCCCTCTGGTGAGACAGAGGTACCACCTCCATGGGCTGTGGAGTGTAGTCCTCTCAGATCCTGCAGAACTGCTGGGAGCTTGTGTGTGCTGCAGGCACCCTGGCAGACCAGGCCAGTGTCCCATGGGCGGATGGCATGCACAGCCTGCTCTGGGACAGACACTGGGAGGTACTGCAAAGACCCGGCGCTCAGGCAAACAGCAAGTCAAGTTCAAGTAGAGGTAGCTACTAGGGGCACTGCTACTATTCTAGAAGCAGTAATGTGTGTTTTTGTCAAGTCACTCAAAGACCCCTAACTGCTTTTTTCATGCTTGCATATTTCTTTGTCCAAGACAACATCATTAGCAAAATATCACCTGCATAGTGACAAGTCACTAGGAAAACTGGTCCCTTCTATGGCTGCTCTCTATTTTCTGCCCCATGGTGGGAGCTGGATACCAGACCCCAGCACAGCCCTTCTCAGCAGGGGCCGCCATCACTCCTCCAGAGATCAAGACCCGGGGACTGAGATGAAGTCCCTTGCTCAAGATCACTCCACCTGGAGCTGACCGCAACCCACTGACCATGACTTGTGTGGGACAGCAAGTTGGCACAGATAACCCATGTTAGTCCCTACTCCACACACCGTCACCTCTGATTCCACTCTGGGGACTCCTGAAGACAGTCTCCATGTCCTCGAGGACCCAATATACTGTGACCGTCCTCTGGAAAGAGCTCTCCCACCTGCTAGCTGCTCATTGGCTGAGTCCTGCCTCATCCCCCATACTGTTCCTACAAAGGTGCCAGGATACTTTCTGGCCATAGTCAGTTGAGACTCCAGTGAAAGCTCCAGGATGCTTTTGGGTTGTATCTCCAAAGACCTGTGATGCTGGTTCCTCAGTCTCCCTGCTGTGTCCTCCACTGGCTGGGCCCACCCTCAGCTAACATGTCTTCAGCATGTACCTAAAAGTGGGTACCTCTCCATCCCCCCCTCCTCCGCAGGAAGCTCCTAGTCAGCACTCTGCTCCTTCAGCCTGGAGCCCACTTGCACCTGAGGCTCTCCCACACCCTCCTCTCTTGTCACCACCTAGGCTGTGCCGCTCAGGGCAGCTCTACTGTTGTTCCTGTCCCATGTCCAGTTCACACCTGCCCTTCCACAGGCCCTGCAGGCTTGCTTCACTCATGGACATGGGTGTGCCCGTGCTCCTCCCAACCTGGGCCTGATGCCTTTCACACTCAACCCAAAGGTGGCTGCCTCTCACCCTGCCTGTTCTGCATTCCTCTATATCCTGAACTTCCCATGTGTAGTGCACACATCACCTGCGCTTTTACCTAAACGCTACTTCTGTCATTTGGAAAAACTTCTTTCTATCACTGCCTGATTGGCCGCTGACTGGGCATGCTGTCATGACTGGCCACCCCCTCCAGGAAGACTCAAGAGGCTTCAGCTCTGGCTGCAGGGCAGGCTCCTCCAGGATGGTAGTGCTGTCACTGAGGCCACGCATGCATCTGAGCTTGTGAACACCATCCCTGGCCTCTACCACTTAATTATAGCGTGCGCGCGCGCACACACGCACACGCGCACACACACACACACACACCCACCCCGTGACAACTAAATGTTTCCTGGGGCCAAGGCTGTCCTGGCAGAGAGCCCACTGCTCTGGGGGAAGCATGCTCAGCTACTTTCTATCTGTGGCTTTGTTCTCTGGACTTTCTTTGGCCAGTATGGCTATAAGTGGGTGGTTGAAAAGGCCAGTGGGCCTCTGGCAGCACCACAGCATTATTCCCTCATTACTGTCTGAGTGGTGAGGAGGCCATGCATTTAAAAGGCCATGCATTTAAAACCAACTGTATAAGGAGGCCATGCATTTAAGCCCTGGGTGGGTACCATGTGAACAGCACAGAGTTGCTGTGACCGGCCAGCAGCAGTGAGTTTCCCTCAGATGTGTCTGAGTGCGGCTGCCACCTCCAACAGCCAGAGACCTTCTAGAGACATTCCAGAGACCTTTCCATGTGGTCTCAGAGCTTCAGTACTTCACCCTCAGCTTCCTTTGCCAGAAGGTCCACAAGCACTAGGGGCTAGGAGATGCCATGGAACAGTCTAAAACATGAGGTGACGCCATAAAGCTCGACATGACTGATACCAGGAGTCAGAGGCCTTGATGAAATGCAAGCTGAGAGCCATAAGAGGGGCCATAAGAGCAAGACCCCTGTACTGGGCAAAAGGCAACAGTGTCCTGTGTCCTGGGAAGGCAGGAAGGTCAAGAACAACTCTGAGAGTCACACCCTCAGGTCAAGTTTACAACTGATGGAGGATTCCAAGGTCTCCAGGCACCAGGAACCCTTGGGAATCAGCTCAGCCGCATATCGTATCACACCAATGGCCCTCTTATACAACTCCTTTACCTTCTGGGGAAATGTTCAGGCCAAGAGGATGGCACTTCAGGCTCTGAAGTGCCTATAGCCAGCCCTACCTGCCTACTAGAGGCCCAGAACCAGGTCTAAGAGCTGAGAGTGGTGCTAAGCCACCTCACTGGCAGGAAAATCATTTTTTTTTCCCCGTCAGAGATCCTCTTACCTCAGCCTATGAGTAGCTGGGACTACAGGCACACACCACTGCACCCAGCTTCGAAACAAAATTTATTTTTTATTTTTTTGAGTCTGAGTCTCACTGTCACCCAGGTTGGAGGGCTGGAGTGCAGTGGCAAACTCATGGCCACCAAAGCCTCAGCCCGCTGGGCTCAGATGATCCTTCCGTCTCAGCCTTTCAAGTAGCTGGAACTATAGGCGTGCACTGCCATGCCCAGCTAATTTTTTGATTTATTATAAAGACAAGGTCTTGCCAAGTTGCCCAGGCTGGTCTCGAACCCCTGGACTCAGGCAATTCTCTTGCCTCTGCCTTCCAAAGTGCTGGGATTACAGGCGAGCCACCACACTCAGCTTGAAACAAATGTTTTGAATGTGATTTTAATTGAGGTTTTTTTTAATTCCTCAAATCTTGATAGGAAGTAAAGTGGTGCCAATAAGTGAATCCTGCCACACTGAGTTTAGGTAGAGTGAAACTTACATAGAATTTCTGGGGAGAGAACCAACTGTATAAGACTCTTTTTTTTTCTTTTCGAGTCAGTCTCAACCTTTTGGGCTCAAGATCCTTCTGCCTCAGCCTCCCTAGCATCTGGGACTACAGGTATGCACCACTACACCTGGCTAACTTTTTTGTTGAGAGAGGTCTCTCTATGTTGCCTAGACTGGTCTCGAACTCCCAGGTTTAAGAAATCCTCCTGCCTCAGTCTCCCAAAGTGTTAGGAATACAGGAATGAGCCACTGCATCTGGTCAGACTCTGTAAGTCTTTCAATGCGAATAATTTTTAAGAGGCTCTAGATTACTCCCAACTCTCACCCCCTATTCTAAAAATAGTCTCCCCCTTAATGCCAAACCCCTCGCCCTCTATGAGCATCTCTTGGTGAAGCTCAGAGTCAGGTCTTAGGAAGAAGAGGGAAGGGGTGTGACTCTTCAAAGGACCAAGAAGCACACCAAGGTAATGGGGTAGGAGGAAGCAGGGCACAGGGTCACTGACCTTGTAGAGATGATCCTTCTTGCAGAGCTCCACACTCTGGGCCCACTGGTTATTCCTCTTGTACAGATAGGCTGCAATGCGCCTGAATTCCATTAGCTGGTGCTTCTCTAGCTGCTGAGCCAGGCCAATGCTGTCAAAGTTGTTGTAGGCGTTGATAGATGCCCTCAAGCCCTGGGAAGACAGCCTTTCCATGAGGGATGGGATTGTGCAACAGGGGCTGCCTGCACATGGAGCAGGCACCTGGATCACTCATTGGTGGCTGCATCTGTTGAAGCCTCAGGAAGGCCTGGCCTGTCTGTGTACCCGTTGGTGCTCTGTAGGGCCCGCACACCCTCCTGTGAGAGGACAGCCTGCTTCAAGAACAGACTGGCAGGTGCAGGGGTGGAGCCCAGCCTGCTCCTGGGTTGGGGGCTGCCCTGTCCACCCCGACATAGCTCCTCCTCCACACCCACCTGATAATCCTCTTCTTCTGTCAGCAGGTGGTTGAGCGCCTCATTCACACTTTTGTTGTTATGGCTCTGGACTGACCTCAGGTAAGACTTCACCAGGGGCAGCTGACCTACCTGACAAGTTGGGGGAGACCATCGAGACACTTGGTCAAGCTTGTCATGGGGACAGTAGGCAGGGGGTGCCTGGTTACACACTGATGGGGGTATAGGTGGGCAAATGCATAGCATCCTCTCAAGTGGGTCACTCTCAGGAGCCAGGGGCACCTTCCCCCTTATAACCAACAGGCCTGCACACACTCGCACAAAGAGGACTTTCTGGACCATCCAGTCAAGACCAATGTTGTCTGTGGACATTTTGGCTGGAATGCAAACCTGCACAGGTATATCTCAGAGATATCACAGGTTCAATTCCAGACCACCACAATAAAGTGAGTATCACAATAAAGTGAGTCACACCAATATTTTGGTTTCCCAGTGCATATGAAAGTTATATTTACACTACACGGTAGTCTATTAAGTGTGCAATAGCACTATGTCTACAAAAAGTGTATATACCCTAATTTAAAAATACTTGATTACTAAAAAATGCTAACATTTATCTGACCTGACCCTTCAGCAACTCTATTCTCTTTGTTGGTGGAGGGTCTTGCCTCAATGCTGATGGTTGCTGACTGATCAGAGTAGGGTGGTGGTTGCTGAAAGCTGCGGTGACTGGCAATTTCTTAAAATAAGATATCAGTGAAGTTTACCCATTGATTGACTCTTCCTTTCATGAACGATTGTTCTGTAGCATGTGGTGATATTTGATAGCATTTCACCCACAGCAGAACTTCTTTCAAAACTGGAGTCCCTCCTCTCAAACCCTGCCACTGCCTTATCAATTAAGTTTATAGAATGTTCTAAATCCCTTGGTTGTCATTTCACAGTGTTTGCAGTATCTTTACCAGGAGTAGATTCCATCTCAAGAAACTCTGTTCTTTGCTTATCCCCTAGAAGCAACTCCTCATCTGTTTAAGCTTTATCCTGAGATTGCAGCAACTCAGTCCCACTTCAGGCTTCACTTCTAATTCTAGTTTCCTTGCCCTTTCCAACACATCTGGAATGACCTCCTCCACTGATGTCCTGAACCTCAAAGTCATCCATGAGGGGTGAATTCACTTTTTCTAAACTCCTGTTAATACTGATATTCTGACTTCCTCTCATGAATCATGAATATTTTCTCCTTATATACTGGTATCTTTCTTTATTTTTTATTTTTACCAATACTTAAAAATTGAACATATTTACTAAGTATATGTGATATTCTGATACATGTATAGAATATGTAATGACCAAATCACCTCAACCATCTATCATTTCAAGCATTTATCACCTAAAGTATTTATTACTTATTTTGGGAATGTCTCAAACCTTCTCTTCCAGCTATTTTGAAATATACAATAAATTATTTACTATAGTCATTCTACTGTGCTATCCAACATATTCCTTCTATCCAACTGTATTTTTGCTTTGTTTTGTTTTTGAGCCAGGGTCTCACTCTGTTGCCCAGGGTGGAGTGTTTACCACAGCCACAACCTCTAGGGCTCAGACATCCTTCTACCTCAACTTCCCAAGTAGCTGAGACTACAGGCATGCACCACCACACCTGGCTAGTTGTTATTTTTAGAAAGCAGGATTTATTAAGAGGACAGAAAGGTTCCTCCAATAGGAGGGGACCCAAAGGGGTTGCCCTAATTTTTTTTTTTTTTATTATTTGTGGAGACGTGGTCTTTCTATGTTGCCTAGGCCGGTCTTGAACTCCTGGGCTCAAGTACTACTCCCACTCAGCTTCCCAAAGTGCTGGGGTTATTGGCATGAGGCACCGTGCCCAACCTAACTGTATTTTTGTACTCATCACTCAACCTCTCTTCAGCTCTCTCCCAGCTCCCCATTTCTCAGTCTTTGGTAACCATCATTCTACTCTCTAGCTCTATGAAATCAATTTTTTGAGCTTCTACATATGATTGAGAACATGTGCAACATTTGTCTTTCTGTGCCGGGTTTATTTCACTTCACATGGATTAATTTTATTTTACTTTAGAGACAGGGTCTTGTTCTGTTACCCAAGCTGGAGTACAGTGGCAGATCACAGCTCACTACAGCCTCAAATTCCTAAGTTCAAATGATCCTCTCACCTCAGCCTCCCTAGTAGCTGGGACTACAAGTGTACACCACCATGCCCGGCTAATTTTTAAAAACTCTTTGTAGAGACAGGGTCTCTCTATGTTGCCCATGCTGGTCTTGAACTCCTGGCCTCAAGAAATCCTCCTGCCCCAGCCTCCCAAAGTGCTGGGATTACCGGCATGAGCCACCATGTCCAGCTTCATAAATGAATGTTCTTATTGCATCTATGGTGAATCTTTTTCAGAAGATTTCAATTTACTTTTCCCATCAGGTCCATCAGTGGAGTCACTATTTAGAGCAGCTCTACTCTTACAAAATATAATCCTTAAATAATAAGACTTGAAAGTTGAAACTTTCCTTGATTCATGGGTTGCAGAATGAATATTTTGTTAACAGCCATGAAAACAACATTCATCTCCTTGTACATCTCCAACAGAGCTCTTGAGTGACCAGTGCATTGTCAGTAAGCAGTAAGCTTTTGAAGGCAGTCTTTTTTTTCTGAGCAGCAGGTCTCAACAGTGGACCCAAACTTTTCAGTAAACAATTCTGTGAATGGATGTGTAGCCACCTGGTCTTTGTTATTTCATTTCCAGAGCATTGGCAGAGGAGATTTAGCGTAATTCTTTTTTTTTTTTTTGAGTTGGAGTCTCACTCTGTCACCCAGGTTGGAGTGCAGTGGCATGCTCCCAGCCACTGCAGCCTCAACCTGCTGGGCTCAGGTGATCCTTCTACCTCAGCCTTCCAAGTAACTGGAACTACAGGCACATGTCCCCATGCCCAGCTAATTTTTTGATTTATTGTAGAGATGAAGTCTCACCAAGTGGCCTAGGCTGGTCTCAAACCGGTGGGCTCAGACAATCAGACGATCCTCTCACCTCAGCTTCCCAAAGTGCTGGTATTTTAGGCATGAGCCACTGCGCCCAGCCAAGATTTAGCATAATTCTCAAAGGCCCTGGGATTTTTGGAATGGTAAATGAGCACTGACATCAATCTAAAGTAACCAGCCCTAGTAAGAGAGTCAGCTTGTTCTTTGAAGCCAGGCATTGACTTCTCTCTAGTTATGAAAGTCCTAGATGGCATCATCTTCCAATAGAAGGCTGTTTTGTCTATACTGAAAATATGTTGAGTGTGTCCCCTTCGACAATGATCTCAGGTAGATCTTCTGAATAACTTGCTGCTGCTTCTCCATCAGCTCTTCTGCTTCATCTAGCACTTCTATGTTATGGGGACGGCTTCTTTCCTTAAACCTCATGTACTAACTTCTGCTAGCTTCCAAATTTCTTCTACAGCTTCCTCACCTCTCTCAGTCATCACGGAATTAAAGAGAGTTAAAAGCCTTGCTCTGATTTATGCTTTGGCTTAAGATAATGTTTTGGCTGGTTTGATCTTCTATCTAGACAACTCAGACTTTCTCCATATCACCATTAAGGCTGTTTCACTTTCTTATCATTCATGTGTTCACTGGAGTAGCCCTTTTAATTTCCTACAAGAACTTTCCCTTTGCACTCACAACTACGCTAACTGGTGCAAGAGGCTTAGACATTGGCCTGTCTTGGCTTTTGACATGCCTTCTTCACTAAGCCTAATCATTTCTAGCTTTTGATTTAAAATGAGAGATATGTGACTCTTCCTTTCACTTGAACACTTAGAGACCACTGTAGGGTTATTAACTGGCCTAATTTCAATATTGTTATGTCTCAGGGAATAGGGAGGCCTGAGGAGAGGGAAAGTGACGGGGGAACAGCTGGTTGGTGGGGCAGTCAGAACACACACATTTATCTGTTAAGTTTGCTATCTGATATGGGCACAATTCATGATACTCCCAAACAATCAAAATTGTAACATCAAAGGTCACTGATTACAAATCACCATAACAGATATAATCATAATTAAAAATCTGAAATATTGAGAAAATTCCTTAAATATGATACAGAGACATGAAATGAGCACATGCTGTTGGAAAAATAGTATCATCAGACTTGCTTGATACAGACTGCCACAAACATTTAATTTTTAAAATATGCAATATAGCAAAATGCAATAAAGTGCAATAAAATGAGGTGTGCTTCTGTCTGAAATCTAAAACCATTTGATACATTGATGAATCTTGAAATTGGAGTAAATCATTTATAAAGGTGCTTCCATTCAGATGACCTTGGAGGAGCTAGCCCAACACACTCTCCTGGACTCAGGGTTCTGGATGACCCACCTTTGAAAAGAAACTGACTGTCCGGGTGTGGTCCAGCCGGGGTGACAGCACCAGCAGAAGGTCATTGATGAGTAGCGGTTTGTAATCCAAGTAGAACTGCAGGGCTCTGTAATAGAGCTCAATGTTGGCAACCTGGCGGGTGAGCAAGGCTGAGGGTCAGTCACTGCTCCTATCTCTGGATACTCCAGGTCTCCTTCTGGATTTTGCTCAAAGGGACTTTTTGAGTGAGGTCTGCCACAATCACCCCCACAAGACTGACCTTGATATGCTACCCTCCTATCTGTGTGGCATTTTCTCTTCAGCACTGCCTCTTCTCTAAGAGGCAGGGCTTTGTTTCCTGCCTCATTCCAGCACCTACACCCATACTTGATGCGGGTTGATGCTCAACTAACATCTGTTGAGTAAATGAAGCATAATTGTCTAGAATAAACCCCAACAACAAAATATGTTTTTTGTTTTTGATTCAGAGTCTAATTCTGCCACCAGGCTGAAATGCAATGGTGTGCTCATGGCTTGACCTCCTGGACTCAGGCAATCCTTCTGCCTCAGCCTCCCAAGTGGCTGGAACTACTAGCACGTGCCACCACACCCAGCTAACTTTTTAATTTTTTGTAGAGATGAGGTCTTGCTATGTTGCCTACGCTGGTTTTGAACTCCTGAGCTCAAGCATTTTCCAGTCTCATCCTCTTAAAGTGCTGGGATTACAGGCATAAGCCATTGCACTTGGTCTCAAAATATTTTGTTTTAAATGAACTTTTTATTTTAAATATGTGGAATACAATTCAGAGTTAGGTATACAAATGTTCATTACGCAGGTAGCCTTGTTGATGAGGTGCCCCCTCCTCCCCTGGTAGTTTCCCACTACTGGCAATTCCTCTCTTATAGTATTACGATAGTGGCTCAAGGTCTGCTTATGAGTGAGAACATGTGATACTCGGTTCTTTGTTTCTGTGATAGATCACTCAGTATTATAGACTCTAAGTCCATCCAGGTTGCTGTGAAGTTAATAATTTTGTCTTATTTTATGGCTGTATAATATTTCAAAATATGAAAGAAAGATTCCCTAGCCCTCCTTGGAAAAGTCAGCCTGAGCATCAGCAACTGGGCAGCGTATCTTATTACAATACTTTTGAGCTGTGACACGGTGGTGCTCAGACTCTCGGTGAGTCCTGATGGCTGGCTTCGGTAGAGCAGGTTCTGGAGGCAGAGGACAGAGCCAATCTGGGCAGAACCTGTGCCAACAGCAAAGCCCGTCCCCTGGGGTCTCAAGGTCTGGCCAGGTTGCTGTGTCTTGGCACTTTCTCTGTAGGTCTGTCACCACTCTCTTATTGGGAGATGTCACTTGGTGGCTTGCTGATTGTGGCACCACTATCCAGGACCTGCACACAGCTCTGCTGTTTAGGGAACAAGAAGGTTCCTGGGTTCTCTGGAAGGGCATGCACCAGGTCAATGGTGATGAATGTGTCTGTGGGGGTTCAGGGATGTACGTTGGGGGTCAGGGGTGGGCTACTGGAGCCTCCAGCAATGCTGGATGTAGGCATTTAGGATTGACTTGGTAGCAGTGTGGTGTCCGGTGGGATCTGCAGACCAAAACATGGATGCAGAATGACATCACGACCCCTCACTGGTTTACTGACAATGTCAGTGTCGTCTCTTTCTCTTTCTCTTTCCCTCTCCTGCTATAGCACTAACTGTCACCACAGACTCTAACCCAGGTGAACTGTAAGGTCCCTAGTACCTGCCCTGTGGACACAGAGCACAGCAGTGAGCCAGTCCCAAATACAAAGCTTCACTTGTGGCACTGGCAGTCTCCCAGCCTTGGCCTGGCCACTGTGGGTGTGCTCGCATCAGAGCTCTGAACTGTCATGCTTCCAGGCTGAATCTCTTATCTGTATTGGAGCCAGATCAGAAGGGGCTAACCAGATGTCTAACCAGCAGAGGGGGAACAGGATGTGATGCAGGGCTGAGGAGCAGAGCAGGGGCTTAAGTGCACCTTCTATGGCAAGTCACTTCCTCTAAGTCCCACTGGTCTCCCCAACCAATCACATGACTCCTTGGGATTACTGTGGAATGAGTGGAGCCCATCCGGGGACAAGCTCATCTCACTGGGACTCTCACAGGCATTGTGCAAGTTGGCAGAATTGGTAGTCAGAGCTGGGCACACGGTTCTGGCTTCCCTGGGGGGGGGGGGGGGG